GGCGAGCAAGGGGGGTCTGTGCCTTCCGCGGGGAGCTGAGGGCACGAAGCGCCCTGGTGCAGCAGGAGGACGGAGCCTGCGCGAGGAAGTGACTCGAGAGAGTTTTGAAATTGCAGCCTAACGGTCCGGTAAAGCTGAACACGGTCGTGAATCTTAATCACATTAGCAAACTTTTTCTTTTTTTCCTTCTTTCACACTACATTCTAAATACTTCACAGGAAGAACGCTTTAAGTCTGTCACTTTTTTCCTTTTTTAGTATTTCTTTTTTTAGCGTTAGAAGCTTTTGGGCTTGCAGTGCATATATGTGTGCGCTTGAGACCTCACAAAACTTTCTGAAAAAGACCATGGGAACCCACATTTAGTATTGTTTTCATTTCCAGTGCGTGCCTGAGCGTGTTTTCATTTCCAGTGCGTGCCTGAGCGTGTGGGGCAGTGTGAGCAACAAAACAGAGCGCAACCGCGTTTTAAAGAAAATCCCCTGTACCAGCCTAGTGCAAATCGAGCCTGACTGGCACAGGCTTCATGTGCAGCCTTGGGAAAACCATTTGGCCGGTCATTTTCGTGAGGTGAGAACACCAATGTGTACGAGTTGTGGCCTCTTTTTACAGACTCGAATAGGAACATGACTTTATTAGATCTGCATGAAGAATCTCCAATCCTTAATCTGTAAATTGAACACCCTGAATGTATTCGAATCTCTAAATACTTCCTTATTTTTCATAGGAGATCATTCTTGGCAAATGTAGCTGTAAAAATTGATATGGCAGTTGTATTGATTTAGAATTTAACAGCCTCACCTTTTGCTGGGAAGTAAGATGATGCAACTCCAATTATCTGTGTAATACAAAGTAGAGTTACCATAATTTGGCATGAAAATTCACATACCTTGAGGCCCTCTTGGTGTTCATATGACTATGCTTGTGTTTTAGGTGTGTTAATGAGACTCTTTTTTTTCTCTGCATGTTAGCTCTAAAAGAAAGTGTTAATTACTTATGTGACTTCAGTAGTATAATGTGTATATCGATGCCATTTAGGTACCTTTTTATAAATGGACCACATATTTTTTTCCCTTGATTTTCATGGTTGTTTTTCATCCCTTATAAATAAATGCCACAACTTGTTAATAATGAGGAATTTTATCAAGTCAGATATCAGTTCATCTCTTTGTCATATATATAGAGAGAAATACCTAAAGACAATTACGAATTTTCTTTTTATAGTTACTTACGGAATCAGATAAATGCTGAAATACTGTTAGACCTTTAAATGGAGAAGTGATACTGTACTGGAGGTTGGAATTTACTTGGTAATTGCTCTGGAGGTTGCTTCTATCCCCTGTAGTATTATTTGCCCTTTATACAGATAGGACTTTTCTTTCTTTTTTTTCCATCCATAAATTATGGTCATCCTTCTTTTCTGTATGCATTCATTTTTATATTATTGTTGATTTATAATTGGGTTGCTTCTGATGCTCTATTAAGATCTGCAGCCTTTGCTGAATTTTA